TACATACATACACACACACTTTAAATGTAAACATGATTACTTTCAATTTTTATGAAATGTGTGATAAAATTTAATTTTAATTCAGATGGATGAATGCTGTTACACATTATCACATAACTACATCATTTATTGTTTAACACAATAATGCTACAGATATATATGGACTAAGTTGCAGCTTTTCTGGCTACAAACTCATCAGTTAAATGGCTTCATTCCACTTATTCCAAGAGGAATCATGTGCTCCTTCTGGATGTGTATGGTATGGAAATTTTTATGAGACATTTCAGATTGGTACTTGAGACAAATTAGGCATAAAGTTTCATGTTACTTATATAAACTAATGGAAATACGTCTGGTACTTAGGAATCATTAGAGGATTGGGATTATAGGAAGTTATCTTAAATTTGTTTGTTTTAAATAAAGTTTAAATAAAATAATCTAGTACTGTCTACATTATTGGAGAATAATGCAATATATGTAGGCAATTAATGTATAAATATGAAGCCATAAGGTATATTAGAAATTCAATACTACTGAAACAATGAGGACTGGATAATAATACCTCCTCCTAAGTCAGCAGTAAATATTTTTTATCACCAGTGTAGATGAGGGTACATCATAAACAGTGTCTTTAAAGAATGTTCAGTCGAGAATAGAGAATCAGAGTGATAAAAAAGAAGCAATATGTTTGTGCTTAAAAGAATTAGCCTGATAGCACCAAGTGGAAAGAATGTCCTGTTAAACTTTTTACAAGTCTAACCACACAATATTATTGTGATGTGAATTAACTTTATGGAAAGAGCAACCATATTCAGGCATATATGGAAATATGCAAGTTGTTTGATTAAGGAAAGCATAAAAGATTTTATTCTTCAGTATTTCATGATAATTCAAGCTTCTTAAATCATAACAGTACCGTACTCAATCTTAATGAGGCTAATGAGAGATATCCAATCCAGGTCATAATGACAGATTTGAAAAAGTCACAGTTAGAAGCTTTACTTATCATAGAGTAAAAGTTACCCATTTAACAAAGTTATATCTGCTTTAAAAAAAAAAACATTTTTCTTTGGAAAACAGTTAATATTGTGTAATTCAAAGATGTGTAGTCAGAGTTAATCTACATGTAGCATCAGTCATAAGAAAGCTAAAACAGTTTTTTGGTGGCTGTTCCAGCCTGATACATAGATCAACCATGACACAGTAAGTGGAGTTATTTTACATAGTGCACTATTATGCCCATTGTATTATATTTTTAGGCTGAAATGATTAACTGGAAAAATTATTGGGTAATACCATGTTAGGTTTGAAAATCAAGTTGTAATCCTGATTACATTGTTATTGTGACTTACTCAGGATCCCTTTCTGTTACATAGTTACAAACAAACCCTCTATGAAATTTCTTTACCATAAAGGGATTATTAGCTTTTTCTATCTGTAGATACATTTGGTCATAATCCGAAGTACAGCAGCACTGTGATGCATTTGGACCTCTTAAATTCAAAGGGGCTAGTCCACTCAATTTAATGAAAAGTAGAGTACTTTATATGGGAAACAATATTGCATTCACATAATCATCCTGTAGTTGGAGGAAAATGATGGCCAGTGCAAAGAGTTTTATTTGTAGATGGAGTTATCTGATTTCTCAGTACTTTGAACGCTTGGTTTTACATCTTCCTGGCATGTTTTCTTATGGACTTCATGAAGCGTAGTCTGATTTCATATTTAAGATTTTATTATATCTTTCTAGTATTATTTTAAAAAATAATAATTTTTTTAAACAATAGCATTTTATTGTTCAATTTACACTTCTTTTTTCTTTCCCACAAATATATTAAAGCAAGCTTATTTTACAGTTAGTCACATTTATCGAAGTTATTCTTTAGGCAACTGAAACCTTTATTGAAGATTTCTATTCCTTTAAAAACCTGAGTAGAAAATATAATCAGCAGAAAAAACACCTTTCCCATTACATGTTTTCTTACTTCGTTGCCTGAAGTGGCTCAAGAACTCTTGTGCACTAGCACTTATTTCATTCAGACAGGAAGAGGAAGAGATAATAATGTGAATGTGTGTCTCTGTGCATCTATGGGAAAAAGAATGTATTTGAAGAAAGATCTTCAAGGTAGCTCTTCTGTAAGATTAAGTTTTCTTTTAAAAAGGAAAAAAAAAAATCTGACATGAAAAAATCCCCTAAAATTAGTCACCACTATTCTTATTTCTTCAGTTGTATGCGTCAGTTTAATTTTTCCTCCAGGAACCTCGTTAGATGTTTTCTAAAGAAAAGTGAACTTTTTTTTTTAATGAAGACAATCTTTTCTGTCAATACTCCACAGGATCTGACACTTCTTAAGATTTTTAAAGATTACTATCATTGAGGTACCTTTGTCACTTTTTCACACCTTGTTTGCTTCACATCTTGGTAGAAAAAGAAAGTCTCTTGATTACCAATTTCATTAGAAGATTTTAAATAGTAAATTTAATATTTTAAATATTAAATAAGACTACGTATTTTATTTAATCATATGTATGGTAATATGGAATATATCCCCTAATAAAAGGATAATTATTTAATAATTTTTGCTAATGCATAAATATTGCTTCTGAAATACTACTGTGTTTTATGTACCTTCCAGGCTTCTTAATAGTTGGTCATCTGGTATTGTGTAACTAGTAATAATTTTCTTCCTATGAACTGGCAGTAATTATTTCTGCTGTTTTTAATTCTGCCTCTCATTTTGACCGTTAGTTCAGTTAATAAGTTTATGTGAGCAGTTTTCTAAAACGTCTTATAGGCTAATTACTTTGGTGGACTTAGTGAAATTATACATTATAGCCCTGATGCTCACTCTCTTTTTTTTGGGAATGTCCAAAAAAGAAAAAAAAAAGAAGAAGAAGAAGAAAGGGGAAAAAAAACAGCTTTTGGAGAACATGGCTGAATATTTGCTACTGAAATCTATGGATTTAAAGTGTTTATTGTTGGTTAGAGCAAACCCTTATTTATATCCTAATCATTGATTTCTCCCCACTACACAAAAGGTCCCCATTCATTAATTGCAAGTTGCCATTTTCTAGGTGTAAAGTTTCTTTCTCTCATTTGGATGGTATAGAGTTGTCTGAGCAATTTGTGAGCACTGGACTCTGTGTGTGTTGTGTCTTGCTGCTATTTATACAGATAGCAGCAGACAAATGTAGATACTTCTTATTAAACATGTCTGTTCATTGTATTTAGCTCACTATTCACTTCTAAGGATTCTATACCTTAGAAATGAATAGCTTTTTTCAACTGTAAATTTTGTATAAGAATGTACATCTTTTGCATATATAGATAATTTGCCCATCCATAGTAATTTTAATGAGAATAATGAAAATCACAGATTTCACTATGCTCATAATAGCTATTGTTGTTGTTATAGATGAAGCTTTTTTTAAATAGGCAAATTAAAGTGAAGTATATTTATTATAATTTTCATTTCTTGCAATCCCATGACAGTTTCCTTTAAAACATGTTACTCTGCCTCAACATAAGACTTATTAATACTTATACAATACAGTGGGTTTTTTTTTTAAAGAGCATGGCTCAAAATCAATGGCACAATGAATCTCAAAGTAGAGTCTACTATCACTTCTAATTTCATCTCTTTTCTCCCAAATCAACAGCATTATAGGTTCTTATAACATGATGAAGTTAGAAATGATAATATACCCCTTATCAGAAATCCTTTGATGATAGATCTGGAGTGCTACCTCTAGAACTAAGTGGTGGAATGACTTCCAATTGGCAGGAACTTCTGCCTTATCCTCCCTCCTGTTTCTAGGAATTTCTCTCTCAAGATGCTTTTGCACATTGACTTCTGCCCTCTGTTCTTTCCTGCCAAACAGTAACTAACTTGCTCCATGAAAAGCTAAAGTGTCAAGATGAAGAATAGGAAACAGGGTTGAGTGCTGGCTGCCTCCTATTTTTGGTGCTCCCTCATTGACTAACTGTAGGATCAGTGGCACTAGGAGGGGTACTGTACATTGCCATGAAAATGATGAAACTGGCAGCCATACTGAGGGGATCTCATAGTCTGGGTATATTTCAGGATATACCCATGAACTCAGATGACTAGATTTTGGTGTTGTTTAAAGGTATAGAGCTAAAATTTGCCTGTCAATTGTCCACATTGTTTTAGATATCAGATATAGTCTGTGATATATGCCTTAATTGCATCCTATTTGGATGAATGTAATGTGTTCTATAGTGGGCTAGCTTTCAAAAGGATGCAGAACTTCAGAATTTTGTGGTAAGGTGTCTTGGATGTTGACATATCTGTTGTATGGTATTTCAGTATACTCCTTTTCTTTGTTTGGCCTTCTTTGAAACTGTTACCATGTGTCCATTGGTATTCTTTAGCACATCAATTTGAGGTTAGAATCTCCTTCTAACGTCAAGGACCCTTTGGAAAATTTTTCCATGTTTTTCTGTGCCTGTTTCCATCTTCAGTGTCTTTAGAGATGTTGTAATACTGCTTGTTGTGTCTTCTAACAGCTCTCTGAATTAAGACAGCTGATTTTATAAATAATTTATTATGAGGAAAAATAATAACCTTTTCAGATAAATGCAGTGCAGTTGGGAGCTATATAATCTGAAAGATCATTCTCTTGTAGTCTCTCAATGGGAGAATCCTACTTTTAGTCCCTCTGGAGGTTCAGTTACTTGGATCATGAGAAAGCATCTTCTTTATGGTAACTTTGCTATGTATATGTGAAGGCAGGTCACTGTAGCTTTTTATCTATAATTCTTGTACCATCATGTAAAATAATTTTTATTTTGCATGCCTTTAAGACCACTTTTCAGAATTATTTGAGTTCCAAATAATTTTAAAGGTTTACCTCACTAGATTATTTATTTTGACAGAACCATATGGAGTTCAGGATTAGTTAGATAACCAGATGTTGAACATTTACTAGTCTTTTATTTATATAGACTATTATACATTTTATGTAATCAGCAAATTTAATTTATTTTCAGTAGGCTTTTTAGCTCTCTCTATGACATCCCCAATCACAGGACTCCAAAACTTCATCCAAACCCATCAAATACAGAGTAAGGAAGATGATCTTGATGGAAATATTCAGGAACCATGACCTAGGCAAAAGGGACTAAAACATTTTTTAAGACAAGAACAATGACAGAAAGTGGCTTAGGCATACACCTCCCTAATTCACTGAAGTATAAGAAGGAGGAGAAGATATAGCACAATCACTTGCAAGATTCTGTTATCATAACCAATCTCCATAAAAAATAGTTTTAGCCTTACTGCGGAGTTGATTTCCTGGTCTGGTCTATGTAGTGGAGTTGACACATAATAGTTTCTCATGTATTCAGATCATTTGTTAAATGCTTATACATTCCTACATCATGTTGATAATATCTATTTAGAACATCACTAGACAACCTGTGACTTGTTGGATCATAGTTTCAGGGATATTTCCTCACCTAAACAGAGAAACAGAATCCTTCCCTCCCTCCATATAATATAGGCTTGTGCCATTTCCCCTCCCCTCACAAACTTCAGGAGAGCCCCAGTGAAGCATCCTCCTCCTCCTCCTCCTCCTCCTCCTCCTCCTC